ACTGATCATAGCATGGCTATTTTTTATTTTTTATATGGGTAACACATGCATAATTTTTTTTAGTGTTCAAATTGATCTATATAATAAGATTGGTTTGGTCCAATGAATTGAAAACATACTTTTCAATGATTTTTGGTAACTATCACCTTTTTGTGATTGCATAGATCTTATAAGAATGTAGTTGTACAAAGAAAGAAGATTTGTATTTAATTATAAGAAAACTCTTAAACATCATTGTGCGGCTAAATTTTAATATTACTCGATACAATTATTGCTTTACCTAGGGCTGTCTCTAGCAGTTTTAGTGCCCCAGACAAAAAATGATCAATGAGATTAAACAGTACATACAATTAATAACAGAATTAAATGTGAAGTAATTAGAAATCTATAAAACGTTTTTTTACGCAATGTAAAAGGTAACACTTGACTTAAAATTGATATAAAGTATGTTAAAATAGAAATTCTTTTAAGAAATAAATACAACTATAAAAGTACTACCTAATAACTTTAACAACCGAAGAAATAGAAGTTTTAAATAATAAAGGAATTTTATCAATTCAGAATCCAAAAGATAGATGATTTATCAATTCAGGACTTGAAAGATGAGATGTATCGGTATATGACTCGAATCATGGAAAACTATCAATCTAAGACCTTACGTTTTATATATTTTGACTTATTTAATCTTTTAAGATTTTCATTGCTAATTTTTCATAAACTTTTCTTCACAAAAGTTTATTAGTTTCATAAAACTATACATTATTTAAAATTTTTAAAATAAAAAGTCAATAAAATTCATGGCAATTTAGGTTCTAAAATTGATAATTTTCAATCATACAAGTCTTAAATTGATAGTTTTTTATCATTCGGATCTTATATTGATACATTTCATCTTTTAGGTCCCGGGTTGATAATTTATCTACCTTTCGGATCCTGAATTGATAAAATTTCAATAATCAAATAGGTAGTATAACGAATTAATTAGTTGATTAATCAATGCTCAAATTTCAAATCAACAGGATCATTTTTTTTTAGGAAAACAACAGGATAATTGTTGGATAAGTGGATTGATGAATTGGCTAATGGCTATTCTTTGTTGCCTCATGTAATCCTAATGACCGTATACGATACAACATAGGAATTTATTAGGGAAATAGTCTACGAAGTAATAATAATAATCTAAATAGATAAACTACATTACTCCTATTCCCAAGGCTAATTTCTTCCTAATTTTCTATTGGGTCATCTAGCCAGCGGGCCAGCCTCCCATATTTGTCAGAATTTACTTACGGACTACTCGTATTTCTTTGTAGGAGTAGTTTTTAGGATGTTTTTACTTGGACTGTAATTTGCCCCAGACCAGACCAGTCCAGACCAGACCAGTTCAGACCAGACCAGTTCAGACCAGACCAGACCAGACCAGACTTGGATAGTTATAAAAATACAAAGAAACCAGACCAGACCAGTTCAGACCAGACCAGATCAGACCAAACCAGACCAGACCAGACCAGACCAGCAAATTACAATCCAAGTAAAAACATCCTTATACTCACACAGCCGCTGGCCACTCGAAATACAGGTACTATTTTTTTTTAAAAATGATGCCCCTTGGGAGTGGTGCCTTAGGCCATTGCCTAGGTACCTACCCCATATGGCGCACTCTGACTTTTAACTATAATAACTTATATTCAATTTTTACAATTAAATAACTATGATACTTATACTATAATAATAATAACATTGGTCATCATACTCACTATGATTTTTTTCATAGTAGTACTTTTTAAGGATGTTTTCTTTTGGACTGTTTTCAGTTCCAGACCAGACCAGACTTAAACAGACTAGAACAGACCAGACCAGACCAGACCAGACTTAAACAGACCAGACCAGACTAGACCAGACTTAAACAGACCAAACCAGACTTCCGTAGTTATAAAATACACAGAGACCAGACGTTTACCTGACCAGACCAGACCAGTTCAGACCAGACCAGACTTAAACAAACCAGACCAGACCAGACTTAAACAGACCAGACCAGACCAGCAAATTTCAGTCCAAAAGAAAACATCCTAAAAACCCTCTATGATTTAATGAATCAAGGTAAATTAATCATATATTCATACTCACGTAGATATAGATTTGGATGTTTATTTTATTTGCAAACAAAAAATATCAACTTTAACAGCGTAAACAAAAGTCATTAATCATGGAATGTTTGAAAATGAAAAATGGGATCCAACCATGTAGCTAAATCTAGAGGTATACCAGAGCTGAACGGTACGATAAAGAATGTCCAAACTCGGAATGTGCCGTGGTTTAGCAGGCTCAATATCAGAGCAATAAATCTAGTGGTCCCTAACCAAATCAAACACGCCATAATAACATTTAACAAACGGGTATCAAATTTGTGTGTATTGACGACGTTTTTTGGTAGTGAAATTTGTTGGTCTAGTCTGGTCAGGTTTGAACTGGTCTGGTCTGGTAAACGTCTCGTCTTTGTATATTTTATAACTACGGAAGTTAAGTCTGGTCTGGTCTGATCTGGGACTGAAAACAGTTCAAAAGAAAACATCGTCATTCTTATTCTTTCACGGAGTATTTTTTGAAAATAGCTGATTTACTCATAATTCATCAAATCATGGTCAAATTTCCTTACATTAATAAAGGAGAAAAAGAATTCAAGAATGACAATTAGACAGAAATAGACGCTCAGCTCGTGCACAATAATGAGCAACTTCGTTCGATAACCATATTGTCTGTCTATCATGAGAAAATTGCACACTACTAGTAAAATTATCGCACACAACTCGATTATATACGTTGTTCTAATTGATGAAAATAATTCACGCTAGTAATATGATATCACCCTTCAACAACTCGTCATTCGGTTCAATTTCAAAGTTGATTGAATATCCCTGATTTCGCAGTAGCCATTCATGAATGTGTTACGAGCTAAGTGAAGTAATTGGGTCTGATTTCGCAGGACCCATAACATTTTTAAAATAATAACTACTCTATATAGGATTAAAAATAACTTAAATGCACAAATAGGACCACTGCATTTTAAACCATCGCAAATAGGACTAAACAATTCATTCCTACCAGAAATGCCCTTAAGGGTATTATTTTATAATGAAATGTTATAATTAACAATAAAGTCTTAAAAAATAATAAAAAATCATAAAAAAAATTAAAATCATACAAAAATAAATAAAATAAAATTAAAAAATTAAAAATAATTTTTTTGATTTAAAAAAAATAGTCAAAATCCATAAAAAAAATAAAAAACTATGAATACCTTTTTCACCGCCACCCACCACCATGACATTCGATCTAAAAATTCTGCCACATTTTATACAAAATTCCATATTTTCCCAAAAATGCCAAGAAAATGGCATTATTACTCTTCATAATGCCAAACTATCATTGAATCAGCCATTATTATGGCATTACTAAAATTGTTGGCAGATTTTTTTTGAACGAATTAATAAGAAATAGAAAAAAACTATAAAAATAAAAAAATATGGATAACTCCGATCGGTGAAAAATCTGCCATTATTTGTCAAAAATTCCATTGTTTTCTGAAAAATATCAAGAAAATGACATTATTACTCATCATAATGCCAAAAATTCCCATTAAATATGCTATTATTATAACATTACTAAAAATAATGGCAGATTTCCAACCGGTGATGGGAGCTGGTGGTGGCGGGAGTGACAGAGGTGACGACATTTTTTAAATACATTTTTTTAAGTTTTTTTAATTTTTTTAAGAATTGTTTTTTGTAAATACTTTATAAATATTTTAATATCTTTTTATGTTTTTTATGATTATTTTTACATATTTTTTTATGATTTTTATTATTAATTAAGATATTTCAAAAGCCTCGATCAAAGGTATGTTTTTCCAAATACACATAAATAGTCCTACTAGGGAGAAAAAACATGTAGTCCTGTTTGTGCTCATGAGTCACTCTTTTGACGTATTTAGGGAATTAACTCTTTTTCAAAACCAAAAGTATTCAATTGTTATGAAAAAAATTACATACTTGTATATAATACTCTCTCCATCCAATTTTACTAATCTTACTTTCTTTTTGGAGTTGTCTCAAAGAAGTGTCATTTTTTAGAAAAGAAATATAATCCGTATAATTTACAATATTTTACTTTATTATACTCAAATTTAACTACAATTTAATATTGTTTGATACTAAATGTGTGCTCTCTCCTCCCTTGATTATTTACAACGCGCATGATCGAACCCAGACGTATATGTGTTTGATTTACTTTTTGTGTGCTTCCACATCGTTATGAATCGATCAAGTGGACCCCAAATTTATATTTGTTCGGGTCTAGATTCCTGGTCCCTTGCACCTGGACCTCATCTATTCTGCAATATACAAGTATTAACATATGCGATTCACTTATGGTTTGTATTATAATTTTTTTTAAAATATATTACGTACCCGAGTATGATTTATCTACAGCCTTTCAAAAATCCATACATCCTAATAAACAATCCAATATACAGTCATTTAAGATGGAAAGAAAGAGTGGAAAGTGGCAATCAATTGACCTGCGTCATCATTTTGTATGTCACTATCTGCAATGGTGCCATCAATAATCTCCAACAAATTGCCGCTTTAAATATATTGTTCAACAGAGACGTTAGAACTGGGGCTATCATATTTGTGGAAAAGGTGGGACACTGGGACATACTCCGTATATGCTATGTTGACCCACGCCATGGAAATTAAAGAACAAATTCCATGCGAATTCGTAGTTTGTATTGGCTTGTTGCCCATATTGAAACAATAAAAACATAGGACAAAAGCTTCTTATAACAAACATCCATGTTTAATTAATTATTAGATGAATGAAGACAAAAGGTACGTGGGCCTCCTTTCTTATTGCTGCTATTCCGCGAACTCTTACTCCCATAGCTTATATACTCACTCGATCCCTCCCTCCATACTCTAAACAACTTTTTTGTTTTTTGAGCACTCCCGAAATTAACTTCTCATTTATTTTCATCAGAGCCGGCCATAGGGCCAGTTGGGCGAGGCAGTGGCCTAGGGCCTCACAATTTGGGAGGGCCTCATTTTTTTATATAAGTGTTAGTAGTAGTATTAAAATATTAAAATTAGCTTCATACTCCAACGCTAATCGGTAGAGCCTGTAACCTGTTGTCGCCCAAAGGCCTGCAAACCCCAAACCCATCACCTTAGTAGCTAGTGGCGAGATTTCAAGACCTAATTTGTGGCCCTGCCGCCCTATTCTTCTCCCGGAGTTCCGGTAATCAAAGTTCCAGCCTTCCAGCGCCAGGTTTGAATATTACTTATTATGCATAATAGCTTCGGACTTTGACCTTCTTCATTAATTTTCTTCTGCAATTGACCGTGAATTGGGAGTTTGGGATTTTGGAATTTGGGTTCGGGAGTTCTACGGACTTCAAACGCTTTTCAATGTTATTGCTAATAATAAGTTGGCTCCTTAATCATTATAAGCACTTTTTTATTTAATAATATTGATTGATTGGATGTTATGATTATTAGTCATTTATTTAATTTGTTTTACACTAATACGGAATATTTTAAAATTGTAATTGAATTAGTCATTTACGGAGTAGTTGTTTTGTAACTAATATTTTATAATTGTTTATCGTAAATGAGTAACTTTTCACTGTAGTTTTTTTTTGTTTATATTTTTTGACTAATTATTGTAGTGTTAAATATATAGGTATTGCAATGACTATATCTTAGCGATTATATAAATCACATTAATATAATACTAACTCCATCCCACTCAACTTTGTCAAATTAATACTGAATGTGAAACTAAAATAGTAAAAATTATGCAATTGAATTTGTGTAGAATAGAGAGAAATGAACATAATAAAAATTTCATTACTTTAAGAAAAGTGACAAAATTAAATATTTTGATACAAAAAATTAGGCAAAATCTTGTGGAACGAAGAAGTATATGAATATTAAGCATTTTCTGCCTAGGGCCTAGAAAATGTTAAGGCCGCCCCTGATTTTCATTTCCATATTTGGCAAATTCTCTACGTTAAAACAATGTCAAACAGTAGCTGACAGTGTCAAAACAGTAGAATTACCATCCAACAAATTTATTTTCTCAATATATGTGAAAACCAAGTGAGTTGTTGTATACACGATGAAGGGAGTATATGATACGGACTAGGGAGTGCTCCATCTCTCTCTAACCATCTTTGCATATCTTGAAGCTCTAGAAAAAGTCTATATGCCAGTTAATTAAGTTTGTACAAATATATATACGCAGTGGTATAATATAGATTATATTATACGTATAATTTTAATTCTAATACCTTTTACATTATTTTTTAACTACGCGTTTTGTTTTTATTATTGTAAAAAATAAAAAATGTTACCGCAATCAATAACTGCTTTAGTTATTTCTTTAAAAAAAAAAACTGTTTTAGTTATTTGACATTTTTAATAGGTTAATGGTATAATAATAAAATTCAGCCAAAAGAGTAAGCAAGGCCGCAAGGGTGGTGACGTGTTCAGCGGATAATAAATATCAGCCCATTTAGGGGGTGTTTGGTGATTTGTACAATGATTATAAGCTCATTTTTCATACTCCAAACGGCCACTTAAAAGAAGTTTCTTTGGAGTATTTTTTCTCTTCGTGACTTCTCAAGCACTACTAAGCTAGATCAAATTATTCACAGTTAAGTACCAAATGTAACACCCCGGCCCCACCGGACCCGAGGTAGTTACTCCGGACCAATAGTACTGTCCCCACAAACCACCACGAGCCTTTACCGCGCACTTTGTCCTCACTCATGCGCGCCCTGAGAAACTTCCCAGGGGGTCACCCATCCCAAGACTACTCCCGTGCAAGCACGCTTAACTTTGGAGTTCTTGGGTGATGAGCTCCCTTAAAAGGAGATGCACCTCTGTTGGTATGAGTAGTACTATTAATCCGTTTATATTAAATCTTAAGTGTTACAATCACCCCCACTTAGGATCGCAACGTCCTCGTTGCGCCCTTGAACCAATCTCAAATCTCAATCAAATCCCAGAATCTTCCCCCGCTAAGTGTCCGCCCGATATCCAACGGGTCATCACACTGTCGCGGGGTTGCTCTGATACCACCTGTAACACCCCGGCCCCACCGGACCCGAGGTAGTTACTCCGGACCAATAGTACTGTCCCCACAAACCACCACGAGCCTTTACCGCGCACTTTGTCCCCACTCATGCGCGCCCTGAGAAACTTCCCAGGGGGTCACCCATCCCAAGACTACTCCCGTGCAAGCACGCTTAACTTTGGAGTTCTTGGGTGATGAGCTCCCTTAAAAGGAGATGCACCTCTGTTGGTATGAGTAGTACTATTAATCCGTTTATATTAAATCTTAAGTGTTACACCAAAAGTGAACCATACTCATTTTTTTGTGTGGATTCATGCCTATTATTCTACTACATAAAAAATAATCATCACGCCACACATCATACGTATAATATACACACACAGAAGAAATGAGGAAAATGTGAAACATTCTTAATATTTCAATGTGTATGTGATTTTAGGGCATAATCCTAGCTACAAGTTCTCAAACATTATTTTCAAACTAGTTTTGTAAAATTATGCATTCGGTGCTTATTTCCGAACATTCGCTTTCCTCATAATTTTTTTCATTTCTAGCCTCTTTTCCTAATTTTGTTCAACTTCTCGAACAGTCGAACATATATTCTCTAAATATATATTCTTTAAAACTTGTAACTCTTCATATTTTTTTTTTTTGTGAAACAATATACACATGAAATGCCTAAGCGGAGACTATGAAATGAGATCATCCATCGGCAAAGGATTGAGACTATGGCAGCAAATTCACTATGAATATATTGAAACACCACCGACAGTGGCGGAGCCACTATGATGCAAAAGTGTTCAATTGAACACCTAATATTTTGAAAAACATACTAGTATATATGTATAAATTTAATTTAATTATTTATTGTCCTTTCAAATTTTAATTCTACAAAAAAATGAACACCCAAAACTTGAAACATCAATCCGCCACTGACCACCGATGCTTTTACTTGGACCGTTTTCAGTAGACCAAATCAAACCAAACCTAAACAGAATAGACCAGACAAGATCAGATCTAAACAGATCAGATTGAGCCATATTTCTATAATTATAAAATACACGGAAACCAGACATTTACAAGACCAAATCAGTTCAGACCAGACCAGACAATCAAAAGATTTGAGACGAAGTAAAAACATCAACCATTTGATAAGCACAATTTTTTTGAAAGAATATAAGCACAATAAAATTTAAAATTGTACTAATTTATTAAATTAGTTATATTTAATAAAGTAGTACTAACATCATATTTCTCTTTATTAACTCTATGTTTAGTCCCCAAAAGAACTCTATATGCTTAGTATTAAATTAACAGCAATATTACGGTCACAAAAAATACTAACCGCAATGTTAATACTAATAATAAACAAATGGTAATAAAAAGGGTGTACAATTGTATCCACAATTGATCGCTGGCCTACAATTGCTTGTACTTAAGTATTTGGAAACAATTTGTTTATTTATTATTGGAAGACTAAAATAATTTTAATTACATGCTAAAATGTAATTACAAACTTAGAGAGAGATAATCTTGTTTGGGAAAAAAATATTCCACGTATTCTTTAGCAAAAGCCCCCCGGTTTTGTGACATTACAAAGGTAATTTTCTTACTTAATTATAACCGGTGTCATTTCAATATTATTACTTTTTTATCTTTTTTTGGTCAGTTTGTTGTGTAGTTTCCTTCCATTTGTTTTCATACTCCACAAGCAACGTATATCGTAACAAACCCTTTGGCAGTTCTCCTTATAAATGTGCGCTTATGCAGTGAGAGCTTTACAGGTCTTTCCCTAGCCTCTACCTCTGATCTCTGTGAGTTAATTAGTAAGTGTATATACAAATCAAACCCCAAATACACAAAACCCCAAATCTTTGAAAGAAAACTGAGAAATAAAAACACTCTTTCATATTTTGTTTGCTAATGTCTTGTAATTAATGTTTTGAAGATAAAGCAATGCCTCTTCGTGATCTTCCAGTGCAACTCAGGAACTTCATCATTTATATAATAGTGCTGGTAAGTGTTATATTGTTTAGTTGAATCCTTTTATACCAGGTCACTGGGTACAATTCTCCACATTCAATTACAGGTGCGATTGATTACACAGAGATGGTTTCGCTCGTTTCAGGGTGAACCGCCTGAAACTCGAGTTCCTCGGGTATGTATTTTAACAATTTCAATTTTTTTCTTTTCATTTTCGTAAAAACATGTCTTCATTACTGTCTTGCCAAATAAACGTTTTCATTATCTAGTATTATCTAGTACTACGTACGAGTATAAGTTACTCATAAATCAGCTTTTTTTGAATACGAAATACGGAGTATTAAATAATTTTAATTTGGCTTACAAAGTTCTTGATTACATTATTAGTATGGACTCGCTCTTGTTCAATATGGAGTATATAAATAGGCCGCCCTTTAATTTAATTTGAATCGACAATTATTAAGAAAAACAACTTTTTGCAGTTGAATTACATTTGTATATAGGGAGAGAGAACAGTTTTTCAATCATGCATAAAATTATTTCTTTTATTTGAGTTGATTAACCTTTTTATGAGTTGTTAAAAAAAACCTTTTCATGAGACCGATCGATGGAATATAAGGACATTTTTTTATGGACGGAGAGAATATTAAAATTAGTTTGAGTTCATTCACATTTTATGGAAACTAAGAACATCTTTACATTAGTTGATAGGTGGTTGTTCATTCACATGATCACATCACGAATCAAAATTAAATTGAGTTCGTTCAGAGAATATTTTTTATGAATAATTTATGTATATACTTTTTACAAAAATAGTTACATGATCTAACTAAGGTTTACTAATAAACACATGTGTGATAATATTAAAAAATACACTAATTAATACTCCGAATGAAGTATAAAACTATAACAAACATTATTCACTGTTACATTTTTTCTTATCATGAAGATATATGATAACATACAATAACTAAAAAAGTGTTATATAGAGAGGTTGTATTAATAACTACTCCATCCTCCCCTATTTAGTTACGTTGTTAATCAAATGTGTCTTAGCGGAGGTTGAATTCATCATGCATACTGTTTTGTCAATGCTCAATCATAGGTGAAATAGTTTCTCTAGTATATCACCCTCCGTTTTTACTAATAAATGGCACAGAAACACAAAAGTAAATGGAAATTATGGAGATAAACTTCATTTTGAAACATATAACCACATCGTCACCAGATGATTCAATTCCCCCTAAAACAAAATAATTACATACTACGTATTATTTTTAAAACGAACACGTAAATATTTCTCGTTTTTCTGTCACACATGTGTGTACCCCTTTATTTAGAAAAACTATCTTCAACCATTATCGCGCACGATTCCCACAAAAATGTTACGGAGTATTTATTTTACTACATAGTTACAAATGTCTATTTTTGTCAATCCTATATGAATCTTAACATAAAGTGTATTTCAATATTATTCTGACAAAAAATATTCTCATCAATTATCATGCTAAAGTTCTGCACAATATTTATATACCAAAGGATATTGGAACATTTTTATTTTACATTACTTTACTTAGCACTAATGTTTTGTAATGATTAATATGTTAAATTAAAAAAAAAAAACACCATCGATCATAAAATACTAGACTTAAATATGTTTAGATCAAAGATAATATTATTTTTAAGTTAGTTTTGAAAATAAGTCAATATCTTCAAGAATGAATATAGTTCTTTATGTGTTATGTCATTACTCTGGTCAATGAATATTTGCATGACATTATCTTATATAAAATTTTTATAAAAATGTGAACTTTCGCATGTTCACCTTTTTAAACCTAAAATTTTCCTTAGACAGATTTTAGTGTTAAAATAAAGATATAATGGTTCCTGTATTTGATTTACATCTTTTATTTATTTTTTATTCAAAAATATATGTGAAGTGACATTAAAATCTTAAATTCCAATTTTATATATTTTTATATTAGAATATTTGCCACTTTATAACATTAATTCGATATAAAATTAAAACTAAAGTTTTAATTGAAAAAGATATTGCTGGGAGAATACATTAACCAAGCTAGATGGTAAGAAGAAACTGAATAGACTGGATAAACACAAATTATAAAGGAGTGAAGAGTTTAGTTTATTGATGGAATGACTAATGAATTCTAGACTCTAGTTAGCATGAGGGAGTAGCTCCATAGAATTCTGAACTCAAATGAATTACAAATATATACGGAGTATTCATCATTCGAAGACAACCTGTCTGTGGAACAGAAAAGTCTACAAAAAAATGTACACATTTTATTAGACCTGGGACCGGTTCGGTTCCTAGGTGAAATATGTGGAACCGTTTGAAAATATGAAATTTTACTAACGGTTCGGTTCTTATAAATTATTTTGTAGAACCGATAAGGAACCGAACCGTTCTTAACGGTTCGGTTCTTGTCATTTAACGGTTCCTAGTATTTTAAAAAAAAATCTTACAAATCACGGTTAAATTTGTGTCAAAAATACAATCAACGCTTGAAATTACAATACAAATATGTTGAATTTCATTTCAAACCTCAAAAGTTGAGTTTAAAAGATAAATACATAACAAACTGCAAATTTTAGAAAACAAAAACAAAACAAGATATTCGGTAAAGAAACCCAATAAAACCAGTTAAATGAAAAATAATTTCAAATAGTTAAATAACTAAACTAAAATAGTGAATGTAATATGAAAATAGATAAGTAAATATACATTAAAGTACATATACTAATAAGAAATATATATAATTTTTAATTATTATATATAACGGTTCTTTAACGGTTCCCCGTACATATTTTTTACAGGAACCGGGAACCGAACCGTTAATAAAAAGTAGGAACCGAACCATTAACAAATAACTAATAAATTTTGGAACCGAACCGAACCGGGTCATAACGGTTCGGTCCGGTTCGGTTCTCCGGTTCTTGGTTCCAAAGTCCCAGCCCTACATTTTATGTATATCTAGCAAATCTCTACCATTCACCATCACAACTTCACTTTGGTAGTTAACTTTATCTTAATAAATACTATGTAATTAGGTTGGAGGCCCCCTTTCAACATCACCCACCCCAGTACTAGAGACGGAAAGAGAAACAGAGGAAGCAATAATTCCAATAACTATGGTAAGCGTATATGTCATGCTTAATTTTTTTGAAACATTGATGTAAACTGTGCATAACACATCAAAAGAGATATCACTCCCTTGTAAAAGGGAACTAGTGAACTACTAAGGTATGAGGTACTTAATTTACCAATCGTTTACAATCGTAACAATAATGTAAGTAGGCTTGAGATTGAAGGGGCTGTTTAATACTATCTCCGTTCCTTAAAACATTGCCAAAGTTGACCGCCACGGAAAATAATAAAGTGAAAATTGTGTGGTAAAGGTTTGTGCTGAAGAGAGAAAAATGACCGAAACAACAAAATATTGATTAAAAGGGAAAATGACCAGGTTTTTTGGATCGTCCCAAAATGGAAAGATAACAAAGTTATAAAGGACGGAGGGAGCATGAAGTCCAAATATGACTAAGCTAGCTAGTGTCTGAATTATTACACTTATCCAACCGTGACACCTTGTCCATGCAATTGCCTTTATCGTCTTTGTTCGGCGCCTGTGATAAATCTCTTGAGAATTCATCTCGATCAGAGAGGAATATAATAACTAAAGATGGTCCAGGCAATATTAATACGAAAAATTCTTTTGGCACATTCTGCTTACATCCAGGGTACAATCTATAATCTATATAACCCTCATTTCTAATTTTCCTCTTCCATTTTCTCTCTCCTCCCCCTTCCATTCTCTTCTCTCCCTTCTCTACCTTTACGCACATTCTGCTTCCCCCACCCCCATTCTCTACAGAGACGGAAATTATATATGTGCGGACATTTTTTTCTATAAAGACAATTAATGTTTGTATACACCGATATTGGTTTCCAACCTCTTGATAGACTTGCAAACCAATTTTTTTCATAACACATTTTTGTCTAAGCAAACAACTAATGTTTGTGTAACCAGCATGGTAAAACGAGCTATTAACTTTCCAACCCACGGTGAAAACGTGCACGTTTTCCAAGCATAGCTATTAATTTTTTAATGATTAACATCAAATTGTTTTGACAGTATGAATAACATATCTTTAACACATTTTTTTGACATGTCATGTCTTACACACATTAAGAAACACATTAAGATGGTAACGTTTTTAAACATAAGCACACCTTGTCATATACGTTAATGCTCCTTCATTCTAATTTGTTCTCCAAAATTTTGGATTTGAATGGTAGCAAAATGATTTTTCTACTTTCTATTTAATTTGCATTATAAAATATTGACAAAATGGCAGTTTTACTCTTATTCTTGTCCTACTCATTTTCCATTTTCATACAACTATTTAGAGAGTGTTTGTAACGGTTTAAAAAAGCGTTTCTGGAATTTTGGCTTAGAAAAGCTAAAATTGGTGTTTTCAAATGATAATTTTACTTAAAGAAGTGTTTTTAAGCATTACACAAAACACATATTTTATCAAACACTATCAACTTTTACTTTGTACAATCAATTTTTTCTCAAATGCTATCAACTTTTACCACTAACCACTTTTCCAAAATCATTTTCAAAGAGGGTTTTTCTAAGAACATTTGCAAACACTCCCTTAATTGGGATTAATCTCACCTACCCTATTTCATCAATTACACCCTCTTTCCGCATTCCTCCTTTTCTATTGTTCAAAGAGAAATGATCTTAAATAAGAACAAAACTTTACTTAATACACCGTAGAGGATCACTCAAATTTTAAAACTCAAATAGGACTTAGTTTTTTTACTTAATACCAAGTATGCCCCTGATTTAATTGCACGGGATATTCTTCCCTTTGCCCGTGTTTTTCTGGCCGTCTAGTCTAACAACCTTCTCATCTTTGCTCCGGCATCTTTGTTCTCACGCGGACCACGTCACTAGTGACGGTGGCCGCAACAAAAATGCCGGCCTACCATCACACCTTCAGACTTCTTGAATTATTCTTCCATAAATATTTCCCACCCTATCCCATCTAGAAGATTCCCAAATTATATTAGGAAGATTCCTAAATATATTAGGCTATTAGTTAGTGCCAAAACAGGTTAGTATGGCATATCTAGCGCCATTTAGTTCATCTGTTTTATGCAATTCGGACCTCCGCCCGTGGAAGGCATCGGCTTTCCGGCGTGTAGGGAACTCTCTATTACCACCTGTTTATCTCCATTGTTTTTATCACCCCCTTTAATTTCGTATGTGTTATGTCATCACCCTGGACAATGAATATTTGCATGACATTATCTTATATACTGCCTCCATTCTTAAATAAATGCAACATGTTGAATTTTACACAATTCACATGTTCTACTTTGACTATGTTTTATTTATTCATGTATGAATATATATTTTTGAAAAAAAATATTGTTAAATTTATCTAATTGTAAATTTTAAAAATCTAATTTTTTAAATTTTTTTACTAATAGAGAACTATATATATTAATGGTCAAAGTTGTGCATCGGCAAATGTGAAATGTTGACCGTTGCATTTATTTAAGAACGGAAGAATTAAAATTTAAAAAAAATGTGAACTTTAACATGTTCTGCTTTTTAAACCTAAATTTTTCCTTAGATATATTTTAGTGTTAAAATAAAGATATAATGGTTCCTATATTTGTTTTACATCTTTTATTTATTTTTTATTCAAAATTATATGTGAAGTGACATTAAAATCTTAAATTCCAATTTTATATATTTTTATATTAGAATGTTTGCCTCTTTAAATAATAATTACTCACAAAAAACAATTTGGTAAAAAATTGGTCGATAAAATATTAAAACTAAAGTTTTAATTGAAAAAGACATTGCTGAGAGAATATATTAACCAAACTAGATGGTAAGAAGAAACTGAATAAACCGAGTAAACACGAATTATAAAGGAGTGAAGAGTTTAATTTATTGATGGAATGACTAATGAGTTCTAGTTAGCCTGAGTAGCTCCATAAGATTCTGAACTCAAATGAATTACAAATATATAATCGTTATTTATCACAACTTCACTTTGGTAGTTAACTTTGTCTTAACAAATAATTAGGTTGGTGGCTCCCTTCCAACATCGCCCACCCCAGTACTAGAGACGGAAAGAGAAACAGAAGAAGCAATAATTCAAGTAACTACGGTAAGCGTATGTGTCATGCTTAATTTTTTTGAAACATTGATGTAAATAAACTGTCCATAACACATCAAAAGAGATATCACTCCCTTGTAAAAGGGAACTACTAAGGTATGAGCTACTCGATTTATCGATTTACGAATCGTTTACAAACGTAACAATGGAAGTAGCTTCAGATTGAAGTGGTTGTTTAATATCCCCAATGATAAAGTCGAAATATGACTAAGCTAGCTAGTAACGCATCCGTCTGAATTACATAGTACGTAGTATTAGTTATCCAACCATGGCACTTATCGGCCGTGTAAGGTTTCCCCGCGCCGGTGATAAATCTATTGAGGATTGTTTTCGATCAGAGGAATATAATAATCAAACATGGTCTAGGCAATTAATTTTAAAAATTATTTAGGTACATACATACTCGTTACACTCAAGATACACCCTATATAACTTTCATTTTTTATTTTCTCCCTTTCCACTTTTTTCTCTCTTCTCTCCCTTTTGTACCATACAAACCCCCCTCTCCCTCTCTTTCTTCTTCCTTTCTCCTTCATCATCATCTTGTACATTAAGATGGAAATGTATTAAAATTTAAGCACACCTTGTCAGATACGTGCTCCCTCATTCTAATTTGTTTTGCAAAACTTTGGATTTGAATTATACCAAAATGATTTTTCTACTTTCTATTGACAAAATTGCAGTTTTACCCTTATTCTTGTCGTACTCATTTCTCATTCTCGTACAACCATTTAGGGAGTGTTTCCAATTGTTTAAAAAAGCGCTTATCGGCTTTTGGTATAAAAAAAATAAAATTAGTGTTTTCAAGTGACAACTTCTACTTCAAAAAATGCTTCTCAATTTTGGTTCAAAAGTGTTTTTTACTTCTTCTATCACACAAAAAACAAATATTTTGCCAAACACTATCCACTTTTACTTTTCAAAATCACTTTTACTCCTAATCACTTATCCAAAATCATTTCCAAAAAGCCCTTTTTAAGCAAAAGCATTTGCAAAGATTCCCTTAATTGGGATTAATCTCACCAACCGTATATCATCAATTAATTTCACTATACCCTCTTTTCGCATTCCTCCTTTTCTGTTGTTCGTAGAGAAATGGTCTTAACTCTTAAATAAGATCCAAACTTTACTTGATACACCGTAGAGGATCACTCACTTAAAAACCTGAGTAGGACTTGTTTTTTTTTTTTACTTTTTACCAATGCAAATATGCCCCTAATTTATGGAGTGTTTGCAATTGCTTCAACTTTAAAAAAGTGATTTTTTAAAGTGATTTTGGGAAAAGTGATTAATAGTAAAAGTTGGTAGTGTGTGAGAAAAAAGTGATTCTGGAAAAGTAAAAGTTGGTAGTGTTTGGTAAAATAAGTACTTTTTGTGTAATAGAAAAAGTGAGAAGCAGTTTAAAGCACCCTGCTTCCAGCTTTTAGCTTTTAAGTGATTAATTTAAGCAGAAGCTGTCATTTGAAAACACTCTTTTCAACGTTTTTTAAGCCAAAAGATGAAAAGCGCTTTTTTAAGCAAAGCCAAACACTCCTTTAGTTCCACGAGATATTCCATGTGGCCGCAACAAAAACGTCGTCCAACCATCCAGGGGCGGAGCCAGGACGCTGGGTCAGACTGGACCGATACACAGTGGCGGATCCTGGATTCAAAGCTATTGGGGGCAGAGTAGGGATGGACCGGGTCCGGGCGGCCCGACCCAGTACCAACCCGAGACCAGTACGGTTAGGATTGGCCCGGTACCAGTTTTCCGGTACTGGTACCAGCCCGCTACACGGACCAACGTAGAAACGGGGCGGGCTCGTGCTTGATTTTTTGGGATGGGACCGGCCGGTCCTAATGGATATATTTTTTATTTTTTAATTAGATGATGGGTACTAACCTGGGACCAGTACTGTTTGGACCCAGACCGGAACCAAACCGGGTCGATAACGGGCTTCAATTATTTAGAATCTGGATCGGTCGGACCCGGGCCCAGGTTCGACCCGACTCCACGCCTTGGGAAGAGTAAGATGACATACTTAAAGACAGTACAAAACAAAAAGACAATAAAATATATCCAAATTGAAAAGGGTTTTTTACATTAAAAATTACTAAAGTAAAACTTATTTACACAAATATGACAATTAGTTACTACAATTAGGGCTGTGCATTAACCGGGTCAGACCGTATTTTAGACCTGAACCGGACCGGACCGGTATACCGGTCCGGGTTTCGGTCCTTAGTTTTGTAAGATTCCGGGTTCCGGTCCGGTCCGGGTCAAACCCGGAAAAAACAGGTCCGAACCGTAATGGACCGGTAACCTATTTTCCCGTAAAATATATACGAAGTACTTGGTTTTGTATCATTAGTCATTATATTTATGACTTATTTTTGTCTTTTATTACATAAACGAATATATACGGAGTTTATATTTGGTGTCTAATTATTTGCTAAGTTGTTATTTATTTATTTATTTATTTATTTATTTATTTATTTATTTATTTATTTATTTATTTATTTATTTATTTATTTATTTTTTATTTATTTATTTATTTATTTATTTATTTATTTATTTATTTATTTATTTATTTATTTATTTATTTATTTATTTATTTATTTATTTATTTATTTATTTATTTATTTATTTATTTATTTATTTATTTATTTATTTATTTATTTATTTATTTATTTATTTATTTATTTATTTATTTATTTATTTATTTATTTATTTATTTATTTATTTATTTATTTATTTATTTATTTATTTATTTATTTATTTATTTATTTATTTATTTATTTATTTATTTATTTATTTATTTATTTATTTATTTATTTATTTATTTATTTATTTATTTATTTATTTATTTATTTATTTATTTATTTATTTATTTATTTATTTATTTATTTAATTATTTATTTATTTATTTATTTATTTATTTATTTATTTATTTATTTATTTATTTATTTATTTATTTATTTATTTATTTATTTATTTATTTATTTATTTATTTATTTATTTAATTATTTATTTATTTATTTTCCTGCTTTTTATTTGTTTCTTTATTTGCAGGTGCACATGTAGTTTATACGTAAAATATTTTTGGACTTAATTTAGTTTTTATTACTTTATAATAGATTATGCATTTTTAATATACACAAAAGATTGTAGTTTTAATTATTGTGGGAAACTAATTGTTACGATTGAATAGTTTTGATAACTATATTCCAAAATTAATAAATGAGCTAGATAAACAATTATTTAGTCTATTTAGCATATCCGCACATAAAATTATAATTTAGAACAACAACATCCAAGCCTTATTCCTAAAAAAATTTGGGACCAACTAAGAACACTCTAAGATAATATTTATTTTTTAAAACCGGGTCAATTAGAGTCAAAACCGGACCGGACCGGAAAATTCAGGCCCGGACCGGTCCGGATCGGTTAGATTCAGCTCCGGTCTTCGATCCAAAGAAAATGATGATTCCGGTTCCGGTCCGATCCGGTCCGGTTTTGGACCGGTGCACACCCCTAACTACAATGTAGTCTCATAGTAAGTCAAGTTTAAAATTTAAAATAAGTTACTATGATTTCATTACTACTCAGATCAATAATCGCATTTTTGTAAATAATCTTCATTTTAGTCATAAATATATAAGTTTTTCAATCGCAAATACTCGTAATAAAGTACATGAGGATTCTAAAATTTTGCAACTAATTCTTAATACAATACACTCCCTATCATTTTTATAAATCCGAATTAATTTTACACATTAGGTTTAATTAAACAACATACAAATTATATAATAGTGAAATACTTCGTAGTTAATACTTAATGGATTTTGAGAGAAATCTACACTCGTTCTTCACTTCTCTTCAAACCAGGCTCTAGCGAGAGAACTACTCCAGCTTATTGTCAGTTGAATTGCTCTAATTTTAGGGATCTATAGCCTTCACGGTTAGAAACTCTCAAAAGTTTTTTCATTTGGAATTTGGGCATGGGGCAATTTGGGCTTACTGGACTACGGATAAGGGGGCATTTTTTTTAATGGGGGCATTTATTTATTTTAATTGGGGGCATTGATATAGGATGTGATTTTTCTTAATGAATTATAACAAGCAAGAGGTTGTTTATTGGGGGCAGCTGCCCCCCTCCTATGGCTGTGCATCCGCCCCTGCGGATACAAAGAATATTTTTGGGAAAAAATATACGGAATTTTTTACACTTAAAATTTAGACATTTTTAAAATTTGGGCTGGACCAGGGTTGCCCTCCCCTAGCTCCGCCCCTGCTACCATCACACCTTCGAACTTGTTGAATTCTTCTTCCGTAATATTTTCCACCCCATCCCATCTAGAAGGTTCGATCTTTCTCAGCTCGTTAGCACCAAAACAGGTCGGTACGCCATATCTAGCGTCATTTATCTCATCTGTTTTATGCCATTCAAACCTCCGCCCATGGAAGGCATCAGCTTTCCGGCATGTAGGAAAGAGCCCGTGTAGGGAACTCTCTGTTACCACCTGTGTATCTCCTTTGTTTTTTATTTTCCCCTTTCTTAAGAGAAAAAGCCAGAAAGACAAATATCTCCTTGCCATCTCTTTGGCTCCGGTGGACTAGGTCTGGAAGTCTCCAGCGTTTCGACGCGCCCATAGAGTTGCTTTTCGCACACCTATCTAGTAATGATTCCTCCTTTGGCCGCCAAATACAGTAGGTTCCCGCCGGTGATGAAGAGTATTGTTGGGCCGAAAAAGCCGGGCTTGTTTGCTTTTATGGCCTCCTTATGACTGAGCTACGAGGAGTACTGCTCGGCCGAAAAAGCTCAGCGCTGCATATCAGTTAATGCTGGGCTAATTGGAATCTTATGAAATAGTCTTTTTTATTAACGCAATTTTGGTAAAAAGGATATCTTGCGCTACGTATTTAGGATAGTGTAGATTTTACGTAAAATTGGTAATTTAGATTGCCGTTTTGATTGCCCTACGGCTTTGTTTGCAACCTTAAATAAAAG